TCATCATCATCATCATCATCATCATCATCATCATCATCATCATCATCTTGGGAGCGTCATCAATGTGCTTTGAACAGTCAGTTTTGGGAGTTGCCAGTTGATTCAAGCTGCAGGTGAACCGGCACTGCATCCCAGAGGATTGCTGGGTTGCTTTGAATGGAAAGGCTCGGAGAAGCTCGGACGCCCCCTTTTGGTCGGTCTCATCGCTACCGCACGACCGCCAGACTACACTGTACACGACTGAACCTCCAGCCAGGATTCACAAAAGAACATGATGCATACAATATCATGCACTTCTTGTCATGCAATCTATATCAGCCTATATAGCTGCATGCAAAATAGATCATAATAGTCTTCTTTCTTGTTGTTCTCTCTATTGATTTGCTATAGATTTTGCTTATCACTTCCCCTGCTTTTCTCGTTCGGCCCCGTTCCCAAAGTCAGGGCCGGGCCCCACCCCCTCCCACCGGTTGCGATCAGGTCTACGACCTCTCCGAATTCATGGACCGGCATCCGGGCGGCCCGACGACCATCGTGGCCTGGGCGGGGAAGGACGCCTCGAAGTTCTTCAACGAGATTCACAAGGGCGTCAAGACGCTTGGGGGCGAATGGACCGTGGAGTATACGACGACGTGGACGGACTACGTGGTGGGTGGACCTACGTGGCGTGTGGTGCGTGTGCGATGGGTGGTTTGGGGGTTGGCGAGGGTTTTCGGGGCTGTTTTTAGCAGGTATGGGCAGGATGTGGGGAGAGTATGCTAAGACGCGATTCGCGACGGACGTTGTGAGGTGGTTGGATTTGCCGGGTTGGACGGAGGGGTTTTAGTGGGATGACGGATGTGGGATGATGGACAGGATGATGCTTGGGCAACTCCGGAGGTGATTTTTGTAGCTTGTTGGTGGTTTTGGGGGTTGTTGGATGATGTTGGATGTTGGTGTTGCGGGGTTTGTTGGATGTGAGATGCAGAAGAACACTTGCACCATGCACTTGCATACTTGCACCACAGCATGCAAGAACCTGCAAAAAAAGGCTTAAGAAAAAGCACGTGCTGCCACATACTTGTAGTTGCTGTGTCTCAATGTATATGTCGTCTATTTTTCTCGAAATCGATCTCTTTGATGATGCATGCGAAAAAGGAGATGACGCACGCCTAGATGCACGCCTCGGTTTTCCCAGGATCGATTCCTATTTGCGTCCGGAGTCCCATTTGGGCAACTTGGGCGTGGACGGGGACCTGATGTCGGATGAATTCTGGCACACGCTCCGGGAGGCGCGGCTTCCGCGATGTGCGATGTGTCGATGTGTCGATGTGCAACATGCATCGATGTATCCCAGACACTCCATGGGACTGGTATATATGCCAATCAGTTGGGGTGGTTTGAGGGGTCAATGTAGGCATATATGGCAGTCCCATGAAGTGTTTGGGGTATATTCATCCAGAGGAGTGGCAAGTGAGTAACGTTCAGTTCGCGCCATTTTCCTTTGGGTTCCAGAGAAATGCAGATGTTTCACAGTGCTTGACGTTATCACTCTTGATAGTAACCTGAAGCTTTCGTTCGACCTGCTTTGCTCACTCCTTTTGACTCCAGGCACGCATTGTGGAGGTTCGCGAGGAGATCGATCGCGTTCTGAGCGAAACAGCAGCCAAAGATGGCCACAAGGCTGACAGCCTCCCTCGCCTCCTGCAAGACAAGCTACTTGTTTTAAGCTGCGCAATGTATCGCAGCAATGTGCGCAATGTTTGTTGCTCTTGGAATGAAACCTCAGGTGTTTTCTGGGATGAATCATCAGAAGTTGACCAGTCTCAGACACTACGAAACCCACTCAGACACGACGAGACCTCTTTCGCCGAATTCGCCGACATCTTTCGCCCTCCACGGCTCGAGGAACTTGGACCCTCAGCTGAAACTCAAGTTGCAACGCTTGGAGACTCAGAAGAGAGCAGCTTTGGACTCGGAGGAGACCGACGGGAGCGGGCGAGAGGGCAAGGGCGAGAGGAGAGAGGGGCCCGACATGGGCAACATGGGCAGTTGTGTTCACGACATTGGGCTTGAGCAGTTGTTTTTGGTATTGTGTTCCAATCTTTGATAATCACGAGAGCTCATGATCATACGGCCAGTCATACGGTCATCCGGCCGGTCATACGGTTTGGCGAATCGGCGAAGAGTTCGTCGGTCGTTGACGGGGCACTTGGTTGACGTGGCATGAATCACATGAAATACGTCGGAGGACTACGCGAAGGCCTTAGATGTGAAAAAGGAGATTGAGAAGATTCTCTCTGACCAGGTCTCTTGGCTTTCACAGTGCTTGAAAGAGCATCGAGGCTGTTTTGGCCCACGGTTTGGCAGAGTTTCATGCTGCCAACACGAGGATGATGGTTAAATTGTTTAACTTGAAGGCTTTGCTGTAGAGTGCTGTAGGCCGTTTACAGATTTGTGCCAAGGCTCATGCTCACATGCACGACATTCCGTTGGACATCCCCAACTCCAGCGGTGGCATTCCATTGTCAGAGGTGGCTCGTCACAACAAGCCCCATGATTGCTGGATTGCCATCAACAAGAACGTCTATGACCTGACGGATTTCTTGATCCATCATCCAGAACAGCGGAATTCCATTCTCGCTTGGGCTGGCAGAGATGCGACTCCAATGTGGGACAAGATCCCGGGACGCTTCCCCAGCAAGCAGTGGATGGATTTCTTCATGCGAAGCGAGTGGAAGATGGGCGATGTTGGTACTGAGCCCAAAAGGGACCCTGTCTACGACCAATTGAAGCAGCTGCATGATGAGTTGCGCAGGCTTCAGGGACCCTCCAAGGAGGACATTGAAGCAGCCAAGACGGCCGTGAAGGTCCCTGGCAAGACCGATGCGCCCACCCTTTCGGAGGAGTCTCGCTTTCCCAAGCTGGCCGAAATCTCCGCGGGGAAGGAACTCCCTTTCTTCACTCGTGCGGAAGTGGCCAAGCACACCACCGCTGATGAGCCGTACATGATCATCCACAACCGCGTCTATAACTTGAAGCCTCTGATGGGAAGCCTGGTGGTGTTTTTGCGGATCAGGTGATTTTTTTGTTGTCGGTCTAAATCTTCTTCTGGGGAATCTTGTTGACTTTGTCCCGCGAAATCCAAGGAAGTCACCCGGGAGGTGATGACATCTTGCTGAGCAAGGCAGGCACCGATACCACCAAGGACTTCGAGGTCTTCGAGCACTCGGAGAAGGCTCGGGTGCAGCGCGACCGGGACATGTTGGTGGGTCAATTGGTGCCCGGCGAGAACACCGACTGGTCCGCGGAGGCCACCGTGGCTCAGGTGGTGGGCGAAGAAACGTCGGAGGTGGGCCGATACATGAAGTACAAGGCCACGGACATTGCGGTTGGGGCTTTGGCATGGTATCTCTACAAGACCTTGCAAAACACCAAGCCTTTGTCACAGTTCACTTACAGCCGAGCCTTGCGACACTTGCATCTCATCATGGCCGTGGGCATTTTTGGAGCAGTAGGAACAGCTCAGGCCGCCTCCTACTCGGAAGGACAGACGAGGAAACAAATGCTGTGGTGGCACAAGCAGACCGGCCTTGCGATGCTTTTTGCTCTGGTGGTGCGCTTCTTCCTTCGCATGCAGAGCGGCATTCCTCCTCGCTTCCCAGGAAATCCCATGGTCCAAATGCTGGAGACACAGAGCCTTCGTGCATTCTACGTCCTGGCTCTCTTGTTGCCAGTCTCCGGCATTGCCAACGAATACTTCTTGAAGTGGGCTCCAGGCTCTGACAAGACTGGAAATGCCGAAGATGACAAGAGGAATGACAGGCTGGCCAAGCAGTCCATTGATGCCCACAAGTTGCTCGGAAAGTTCCTGCAGTTCGCTTGGCTTCCCTTCCATCTTGGCTACACCACCTTCTACCATTGGACTCAAGGTCGAGGCGTGGTCAAGAAGGTCTCTCCCTTCATCTGAGATCACCAATTGGCCGCACCGATGCGTTGCCAGGTGATCAGTTTCAGTGCATCCTCTTGAATCATTTTATCAATCTCGGGCATTCAAGGGTTGCTGCTTCATAGCTTTTGTGTAGGTTGCTGAATCTTCCAGAGCAATCTCAGGGGTGCCAAAGCAGTTGAACTGCTCCATGATCATTACTATTCTCCATATATATATATAACATGCACTTGCTTGAATGTCATAAGGCACACCCTGATGCAGTTTTGGCCGTGGGCAGCACGCATTCTGTGAATGGCAGCTGCGACGGCAACATGAAAGACACCTGCCTCGCAAATTGGCGGTGCAGTTGAAAAGCCGCGACGGCAGCAGCGCTTTGACCGGGACATGTGGACATGCGGACATGCGGACGCTCTGTCTGTAAGCCTCACAACGAAGCACGGAAGGCACTTGAGGTTGACGGTTTCGATATCATCAACCCCAGCAGTCTTTGTAAAGCCTGGAGTATTACAGTATTGAGCTAATTTTGCTTAATTTCGACAGTCTCTGAAAGACCATTAGCCTAGCTCATCTTATACATCGCCTACTCTTCTGCGTGAACTGTCCCTTTCGTTGCCAACAGTAACCCTTGGTTGACTGTCACTCAGTTCTTTCATGACCTCATCCGCCATTCAGAGTCGCCATTTGAGACGCCCCACCGACTCCCATCTTCCCTTCCCACAGCGCTGGACCTGCCCACCGATCACCCAGGTGAGACCATTCGCGCACGCCGACCGGGTCTCCGAACAAAAGAGCGAAGCGGCGCGACCGCGACCCCGGGGCGACGACTGACTGGCAGAACCAGCGCGGGGGGGGATTGAGGATGATTTGGAAGACTTACTGTAAGAGGCTTTCCCAACTCTAGACCGAAGCGTGAGCTTATCCAATCTTTGGCAGCCGAACGCGGGCGGTGGGCACCCAGTAGGGCACCCACCACCCAACCCCATTCCAGACCTGGCTGGCAGGAGATGGAGTGTCCAATGATTTTTCTTGCGAGCTATTGGAACAGTGGCCCTGGTATACAGTGTTTTTTTTGCAGCAAAGTCATCTCAGGTCATTTTCAGGTGGCAAACTGCCAGAAGTGCGCGCTTTCCGAACCAATCGGCTCAAAGAGAAGACAACGGCTTCACGTTTGAGACATGGGACGGGTTCCCCACTGTGCAAGGCAGCAAGAAAAGCAGCAACGGGACCCATCTGGCAGTCTGAATGACCATGTCTGGTGTTTTCACCCGAAGTTTGCGCAACTTCCGAGGTTTTCTCCAAACGCCCAACAACCGCAGCGGATGTCGCACTGCCGCCGCACTTGTTTTCTAGCTTGGGTGAATGAACAGCCAAAAACCAGGAGAAGCGCAGAAGACCGGTCACCAGAGCGAAGAGGCACCAGAGCGCACCCCGTTTTGGACGCTGTTTTCCAGGCTCCGGACAGGCAGTGACGCCATGGCAGTGACCGATGACCTGCCAGTAGGCGATGGCGACAGCGCTTTTGCGAAAGACGGATTGATACCTTTGGAGTCCGGTCGACCATGGCCATAAAACGAGTAGAATGCTCCTAGTAGCGATGCCAGGAGCCCCGAACGTACTTGCTAATAGTAAGGCCAGGAGCCCCTAGTGGTTACTTGCGTTGTGCCAAGAATGGTCGAACTGGACTTCTATAGGGATTCTAGGGTAGAGCGAAATTCAGCAGGATCTGATGAAACGGAGAAGCTTCATTTAGGGGAGTCAGCAGATGAAAAACGCCTTTGGCGATCTTCCCCATCTTGCGGTCTTGCGATCTCCCAGGATCGCCCATCAAGGACATCCAAATCCCACCTCTTAAGAAAATTTAAGAAATTTGGATGATTCAACTCGAATTGACCCAAACCTCCTTTTTAGAAGAGAAACCCATTCTCTCTCCCATTCTCTCTCTCTCTCTCTCCCCTCCCACACGCCTGCCACCCCCCCCCCTACCTGCCCTACCGAATCCCTCGCCGCCTCGCCCAGTGCCTCGTCGGATCACCAAAGCGTTGATCTCGGCCGCCAGCCGGCCGACGGCCTTGGACTCCAGGCCGCCGGGGGTCGGGGTCTTGGGTCGCTGGGCGAGCGACGTGGGCGTTCTTCGATCCGCAGTCGGGTCATGTGCGATTCGGGTGAGGACGAGGATGGGAGCGATGTGGAGATGTCGACCCGGCTTGAGAAAGAGGTTTTGTTTTTGGGGTCTCCAGGGGGATGAAGGATTCATGACGATCCGAATGCGAATCAGCTCCTCAACTCTGTTTGTTTAACAAAATAAAAGGGTTGGCCTAAAGTAATGATCTAACAGGATCAAACACCAAGGCCTCTGAACCAGAGCGGGCCTCTGCAAGCACTTCCCGAGCAGCCAAGCAGCGCGGTCGCGGGCGCTAGCGCCGCTCAGGAGCCGACCCAAGTCATTGATCGACATCGAAGGATCTACCCTCATCGCCCACGTGCTCCGGCAGTTGTACAGGCCGAGAGACTCAACATGTCTGGAACCTTGCACCCCACCATTCGAAGTCCTAGTAAATGACGTCGTATGATGGACTATAGTCACGTCTTAAGGCCATTCCTTTTCGGATCCCCTGCACCTTTTTGGATCGGTCGACCGTCAGGGTGCACTGTCTTGACTCACTCGTGGATGGGTCTTCGGGCCGCCCACCCCTTCCACCCGAAGCGATCCCTGCGGAACGTGGTTGGCACCGACGTGGGACCTGGCGCACGAGCCGAGCACGGCTCGAGCCCACGGCGGAGGTGGTTGGGGGAAGTGGGTGAAACAAGGATGAGGACTGCACTGAGAAGGCGGCCGAATGACCAGCACCACCCAGTTTGGGTGGTGATTGGACACGGACAATAGATAGTCAGCCGGGGATCTATAAACCACCCGACCTGGGTGGTGCTGGATTAGGCAGTTAATTCCTTTTTTGGGAGCTTTCGAGGAACTGAGCGCCAGCCCACGTCCCAGTCCAAAGCCAGTCCCATTGCCCGGCAGGTTCGGGTCTCGTGTCCGTGTACACTGCAAACCTCCCAACCTCCGATGAATACTTTCCGTGCCCCACCCACGCCGTGGCCGAAGCGCTTCACCGTGGCCGTTGTCGCCGTCGCCAGGGGCGGCATCCGACATGTGATCTTCGTCGTGTCTCACAATGGCTTGGAACCCCACCGAGACGCTTCTCGCGTCATGACTGGTGACTGGTGACCACGTGATGACCGGTGGGTTTGGTGTCGTTGTTGGGGACTCAACAGTGGACACTAGCCAGAAGAACACCACGAATTCTGGTGCGTGGTTGCTGGTAGAATTGAATCAATAAAGATCTTAATGTCCAACAAGATAAGACACATATAATTTCCAATTTTCCAACACTTACCAGGATCTTCCAAGTCCGCCTTTTGGACACCCCTTCTTCATCTTTTTTCGGGAGGGCCGACACCTCGAGGGGAAGGTCCTGCAGCCAGTCGGTTCCAGGGCTGAAGTTTTGAGAAGAAGGCAGTGCAGGCGGTGATGTTTTTTCTGCCAGCCCTTTTTCCACTCCGAGATCCCTGGAGTACCTGAGAACATGGGACGTGACATGACCCGAACAAAAGACAGGCAGGACGTCGTACCCATGTTCTGAGGTACGAGTTCCGGGTCGACTCCAGTGTTGTTTTTTAAACGTACTGTTTCACATTCGAAGACTTCCGGACCCGGACGGGCCCGTTGCGGGGGTTGCTACGGGGTGGCCAGGGCCACCCTCTTTGGGTCGGATTGGGCAGTGAGGCCCTCTCATCGTGGAGGAGCTGGAGAGATGTACGCGGAACATGCGTGGGCTGCGCTTAGAGGTGCGGGTCCGCAGTGCGGTCCGGCCGGCGAAGACGCAGGTGGAGCCACAACGGGAATGGCTGGGACATCTGGGTGGATGCGACCAAGGTGGAGGGGGGGTGATGTGCATGAATCTCCTTGACCCATCGGGCATGCTAGGTCCGTTCGAAAGAAGTGCGCCATGAACTTTGGGGGCCATGGGACCTTCATGCGAAGATTCATTGGCCCATATATTGATCCCCAGTTCCGAGCCAACAGGGAGCAAAGCAGGAGAATGACTGGTCCAGATGCAGACCATCCATGTATGCGGCCTTCATCATTCGGGTGCTTTGAGGAATCAATGTAGGTCTTCCCCTCGGTCTGGCGGTCTGGCGAACTCCACACGCCCAACCGTGACGTCGCCAGGTAGTAGACCTGCACGAAGATTATGAAGGTCTGCGGGCGTGGTCCGTGCGCTCGTATTTGAGGATTGGAATTCGGTTGGAAGGACGTGCGCTCGCTCGCTGGGGAAGGAGCTGCCTTCGTGAAGTTTGAGACCCATTTCGGTCCCATGGTTTGAAACCATTGACGTAACTGCAGAGGGATAGATATAGGGCTTCACGGATGATTTCAGGGTTTTCACTATAATTTTGGAGGAGTCTTTTGAATGTTCCGGATGCCGAACCTAGTTCTTCCATGGTTCGTTCTTCCTTACAGGACAGGCCCCCACCGGTGGTCCCAAAACCCGCCGGTGTCCCGCGTGCCCGGACCTCCACGCCGCCCACCGCGCCTCGGCCGCCTCGGCCTGGGAGGCTTCTATGCGGCCTCCCTCCTTTGCGCCTGTGAGCGATGCCTCCCGGACGGCCGGGACCCAGCTGCGGTCTCAGCGAGACGACTGGGTGGAGCGGACGGAGCGGATAAGACCGAAGGTCCAGTGACTCATGGACTCCTGCTATGGTGGATTGACCAGGGACGCGGTCCAATGGGTCCAAAGCGGAAGTTCTCAACCACCGAAGTCCAGCGCCGATGCCGATGTGGGCCGGGCACCGAAAAGGTGTGACGTTCCGATCATCGGACCAGGCCGATCAGGCCGTGTCAAAAAAGCGTCTGGGACTCTGCAGACTCCCAGGTGATATGGCATGTGGGTCAAAACAGGGGGGACCTTGCTTGACCACGGAACATGAACAGAATGGACTAGCAGGTCGACCTACCGGGGTTTAGAGATCCAAGTTTTGACCCTCATATACCAGCACCGAACCCAACAGGTCTCCGATGGCTGGAGGGTTGGGAAAGGCCCTAAAACAGGTTTCAATTGGTGACCTGTTGGTCGTCGGTGCTGGTATGCAATGATGTACCTGCATGGAACTTCCGATCGAGTGCCTTTGTGTTCGATCTGCAGCGTGTTCCCCAACATCTTTTGGAGTGCAGATGGTTGCAGGTAGAACAGATGGTAAAAGGCAAAGAGGATATCCACTCAAACTGCCCTGAATCTTCCGGCGATGTGGAATTTCTGCGTAAAACCAACCAAGGTTGGCAGACATTCTGCATAATAGTTGGAGATCCAGGTCTCCTGGTCCTTTACCAGCTTTACTGTACCAGCACCGACTTCACAGGTCACCAAATGAAACTTGTTAGGGCCTAACAACCCTCCAAAGGAGACCTGTTGGAAGGTGCTGGTAGTGTATTTTGTATGATGAACAAAGTAGTCGGTCCAAGTGACCTGTAGGGTATAGGATTTCGTTGAGAGGTTTGGAATCACGCTTTAGCCGCTTTAGCCGCTGAAAAGCCACCATGCTTCTTCAGCTACTTTCGTTTTCGGTCTCAACATGGGCTGTATACCAGCTGCCCCTCCCGACAAAAAGACAATAAGTGCATGGATGTCCTATATGCCCCCGCAGAAAAGAATTGGGCCAGAGATCTAAATATTCCTATGAAGCTGATTGACCCCTGTTTTGGAGCCAAAACATGGTCTTTTCCTATATCAAAACAGAGGTCAAATGGGTGACCCGAGTTTGCAATACAATAGATGACCCGAGTTCCACACCCACCGTCTGGGTGGTGCCAAACGAGGCGAGCGAGCCGGGTGTCCTCATCGCCGCTGGGCGGGGCTCTTCGTTTCGGATGTCGTCTGATGTCTCCCTGCCCACCTGGTCACCAGACTTGAAACCTGGGTCACCAGACCCTAAACCCAACCCGCCAACTCTGGGAGGAGACCTTCGGATCGGTCGAACTCGACGGCTTGCTCCGAAGCGCCCGAAGTTCGGAACACTGCGGCGGGCGCCGGCGGCGTTTCTTGGCAGGGCGTAGTAGGACGGAGCACGGAGACCGCACGGTGGAGGTGATGTTTTGGGGTCCAAGAGAAGCCCAAAAAGCAGGGTCCTGACGAAAAATGGTACGTCCGGTGAACCGAATTCCGTGTGCTACTGGCTAGGACTTCTATTATAGGGGAATGTATTGTAGATGACAGGGTGTCCATGACTCTCCAATCCCAAAGGGCACAGGGCAAACACTACAACCTTACATGACGTAGTGAATTCATGACTGTAAGGAAAGCAACTAGAAAGTCAATGGATCCCCTTCCACCCTCACCGCACATGCGAGACGACTCGCCTTCCTTTTTTTCACACAGCACGTGCAGGGTATCCCGTCCTCCCCGTCCGCTGCCCCGCCCCACGCCCGTGGCTGAGGCCACCGCCGACCATATCTTCGATGACACCCTGGTGACCGACATCTGTACCGCTCCGTTCCGCGCCCCGAGTTCCGCCGCGCGCGAGCTGCGAGGTCGCCCTCGCCCTCGGTATTCAACGGCTCGACCAGGTCGGTCGCGCCGCGAACGCACGGCGCACGGAGCCGGATCGGTCATGGCGCGGCGCCAGGCGTCTTTTGGGGGAGCGGGTTCGGATGGAATCGCTCCTTCCTTCGTCACGGGGCGTTGTGGGTCGTCCTTCGTCCCCCAAAAAGACCCTCAACCTCGACGACCGTCGATCCGAAGTGCCGCTCCGCTCGAGGCTCTCGCGGGGCACCACGGACGTTTGTGTCTTGGTGGACTTCAGCAGAGACAAGTGGAGCGGCCCGGGACCCCTTCTCCACCGTTCCTTCCGAGCCGGGACAGTTGGGAGCCGGTGAAGATGTTGAGATTCGAAGTCTCGGACTTGTTCATCCCTAGGGCTCCAAATACCTTCTGAGACTGTGTTTGGGGTGGGTGCCATGTTCGGGTCCAGTCATACCGAACCTGAGGAGGTAACCTCCTGGAGCCCTAGGGCATCCATACTCCGACCTAGTGAAACCATGTAAAACCACTGAAAAGCTGGTTAGATCGTGTGTTTTTGTTGGTATTCAGCATGGTGCAACTGACCTGGGGCCGGGGGCCTGCAGGGAAAACCCAGGGACGTCCGAAGCCAGACCCACGAGTCTTGACATGTCCCGTCCTCGGACGTCTCGCCGCCAAGAGAAGAGGAGGCCACACCTCGGACGTCTCGTCCTCCACACCTCCGTTCTTTTGGAAAACTGTGGGACGAAACGAAGATGACTCACTGTGAGACTCGATTTGTCCCTGGAATTCACATGGCGATGGCATCCCCTGGTTTTGACTAAGGATTTCATGGTCTTCCAAGGCGCCATGTTCCACTTCCATGTTATAGTTCCAGGGAGTGTACTTGAAAACGATGGTTACTTGCACAACTCGGCCCGACATCCGCCGACACGCTAGCTGGATTCAGTTTTCCGACACAGGATCCGCCGCAATTTGGATGGAGTCTAGAGAAATTAATTGTGGGAGACTGAAGCCAATTAAGAAACTTGTGGTCACTCTCCTATTCAAAAGTTGGTCCTGCAGAAGTTCTGCCTCAGGATAGGAGGAGAGGCATGAAGTTGCGGCTCGGCTCCATGCAGCAGAGGATCCAACGACCCGCAGAATACAGCAGGAACGACCCGACGTGAACGACCAAAGCTTGGATCCCAACAGGGCCGGCCTTCTGATCCGTCTGGGACGGCCAGGCCGGACCGCCTGGCGGACCTGTGACCTCCCCGTTGATGACCTGGGCACCATGCCCACACGGCGTCCGTACTCGTGGAAAAAAAAAGGCGGACCTGTGACCTCCCCTGTTGGCCGAGGGGCCGTCCGAATCAGCAGTCCGTTGCAGTCCCAGATGGCGGTCGTGTTTGGGTTACCAACAGAGGTTGAAGGACCTCATAGACTATCCCAGTTGGGTACCCCAGTAAGGTCCTGTTAGGTCACTTAACCTCTATAGTGGTAGGTACCTTGTAGCATCTTGTAGCCAATTCCAAGGCTGCAAGATTCGCGTTGCACGGCACGTGGCGCGACAGTGTCGGGACACGATGCACCAAGAGGGAGGTGGCACGTTTTGGGGATAGATCTCAAGCAAAGCTTTGGGAAAAGGCTTTTTGGGTGGTCACGAAAGCTAGCATGCTAGCTGAGTTCTTCTTTGCTTTAGCAATGTTGTGGTGGGAGGGGCTGCGTGCCTTAAAGATTGATATATCAAGCTAACCCCCCCCCCCCGCGGTTCAACTCCCAGCTGCGCCGTGTAGGGGGTTGGTTGAACGTGTGAACGTGGTTGGTTGGGTGTAACGGTGGCTTGGTGTAAAGGGTGCTGCTGCTGCTGCTGCCGCTCTGCTGCTTGCTGCTGCTGTTTGCTGCTGCCGCTGGTTGCCGCTTTTGTAGCTGCTGCTTTGCTACTTGTTGCGGCTTGGTGCTGCTGCTGCTGTTGCTGACGACGCCGCTGCTACTGCTGCTTGCTGCTTGCTGCTTGCTGCTGCTGCTTGCTGCTTGCTGCCGGTGGTGCTGCTGCTGCTGCTGCTGCTGGCTGCTGCTTGCTGCATAGGACTTGTACTTCACCGTTACAAGTTGTTTACCCCTATTTCTAACCTAATGCATGCATAAGCGGGTGGTAAATTTACCCCCCAGGCTTGCTATAACCATACACCGGCTATTTCCTCAAGACACTCTATTCTTGATACCTTTTACCAGTGCTTATCCTACACTACGGACGCCCTAGTGTATGCACAGTCCTTGTGATGCTTACCCCTCGTTCCGGCTCAAGGCATACATAAGCGGGGGGTAAATTTACCCCCCAGATTTGCCATAACCATAAGCCGGCTATTTCCTCAAGACACTCTACTCCTTCTACCTTTTACCCGTGCTTATCCTACACTACGGACGCCCTAGTGTATGCACAGTCCTTGTGATGCCAGAAATGCTTACCCCTCTTTCCAGCGCAAGGCATACATAAGCGGGGGGTAAATTTACCCCCCAGATTTGCAATAACCATACACCGGCTATTTCCTCAAGACACTCTATTCCATATACCTTTTACCCGTGCTTCTCCTACACTACGGACGCCCTAGTGTATGTACAGTCCGTATGATGTCAGAAATGCTTACCCCTCTTTCCGACTCAAGGCATACAAAAGCGGAGGGTAAATTTACCCCCCAGATTTGCCGATCACGCATCTTCGTGCCTGCCAACGAGTGCACCCGGGTTGTTCCAATGTACCCTTCCCAGTCAGCGATGTCACATTTACATTCTTTAGCGCAAAGTATGTACATAGCAACCTTCCTCCCAAAACATGTCATCCCTACATGCTTTGCCGACTATGTAACTAGTACATCCGGTGCGATTCGGCTAGCTTTCGACCTCTCCCCCTGGCCTCAAGTTTAATCGGAGGTTTGCAGCTTGACTGAGCACACCGCTCGACTTGTCGGAGCTTGCAGGTGTGGCTCTGGTTTAATTGGAGCATGAAGATTGAAGGGGACAGTTTCATGGACAAAGCAATAACATCTCCACACCTCTGTTGTCATGGGTCACCTGCGGTTCCTTGGCTCCACAACGATCCTCGATCCTCGATGCGTGAAACACAAACGTGGTGTTCTCCTTGTCAACGCTCGTCAACAAGGCATAGCCTTCCTGTGACTCGAAATTGCCTTTCATCTCATCAGTTTCTCGGTGCCGACAATCAAAGAAGACTATGTGTGGCAGTTTGGTGTGAGGCTTTACAGCAGGTCTCAAGACTCAAGTTAGGGAGGGGGACAGCGCGCCACGACTTCTTGTGTGCCACGTGGGAGCTCAAGAAGTGAGTGCGAACATCGTTCTCACTGCGTCTGGTGTGATGCGGACAGTGCACCATCAACTTCGCGGCCCTCCCGTCCTCACTGCCCTCACCGCCAGAGGTCTTCCGGCGACCACCGTCGGGGTGAAGTGCAATGAGGACCTTCAGCGCGTAGGGGCCCTGTGACGTGGACAGAAGAAAGCTCTGCGCACACCTACCCTAACTCATGATGGACCAAATGCACAGGTCTGTCACAGTCGGTATGTCATGTATAGGCAATCATGCATTTGCATAGCTGCATAGCTGCATAGCTCATAGCTCATCATCAGCTGGGCATCCCGAAGAGTTTGAAGAAAAAACATGATTAAGAGTGTGGAGAGTGTGTCCCTTCACTTGTGCTCTCCAAACTCAAAGTTTTTCCATATTTTTCCTGTCTTCAAGGTGCATAGATTCGCTGCATGATGACAGTGTGATTAAATTCTTCATGTCGGTTCCACTGAAGCCGCGTTGTCTCAAACAGAGCCATTCTGAACATCAAAAAATCTCGCCATGCGCGTCGCAAGGGGACACTGTCAGATATGTCCAGATCATTGTGCACTATTCGTGTTTCAGTCGCTAGTGTTGCAGAAACCCTGGAAGTCCAAAGACTATTTTTTGACCGACTGAAGTAAAGAAAATTCCTTTTCGGGTCACCTAAAGACCGTTCTTTTTATAGTCTTTGACTCCCAGGGGAAATGTTGGCGCAAGAGAGGGAATGTGTGATCTAAGTTGTTGTAACCAACGGTATTTCAGTGTGATCGCAACTAATTGGGCGTTCCCTTCCACGGTTGCCTGGAATCGTTTGACCGAGCCAATGGGCCAATGCCCAGTTCGAAACATCAACCAAAACGCATCAAAACGCACACTCAAAGTATAGCAAAGTACATAAACCAACAATCCACATATCCCAGTACCCCAAAATCCACATCATGATGATTTTTTGACATATGGCCCAACAAACATCTCCAATTGTTCACGGGAGATCATTTTGACGATCCACTTCCACAGTACGGTATGTACTGTAAATGATGTATTGGGAAAGCGGGCAAGTTGTGGTTGCCATCAGCAGAACTATTTCGAGTTTGCTTCACTTTTTCTTTGGCAGCCCAGCTCACACAAAGACGGAGACACACAGTTGAAAAGACATGTGATATATATATATATAAAGTTATATATTCATGTAAAACGTGTTTTTTTGGATCATGTGTTTTTTTAAATCTCTGGGTTAAAACCAGTTGCAAGTCATACCAGTCCTAGCCTATCCGAATTTTGACACATCTGAGTTCCCATTATGTACTGTTATAAACATCTTTCCTTGGAGAGAGCCTGTTTTCAACATGTTTTTAAACAGTCAAATAAAAGTAAAAAACAATCCCAAAAGTCAAAGTCAAAAAAGTCAAATCAGAAAGTTTCAGAAAGTCAAAAGAAGGTCAATTTGCATTGCCCAGATCCGACTTCTTTTTTACTTTTGTTTTTCTGATTTTGTTTTGTTTTTGACTTTTGTTTGCCCCTTTTCGAGGTTTTTCGACTCTTTTGTTGATTTTTTCGAGTGGTTGATCTTTTTGACTTCTTTTTGACTTTCATTTGACTTTTCTTTTTGAATGTTTTTATAGTTTCTAGTTTTCTTCGACCTGTTTTTTTTGGACTTTTTCGAGCAGTGGTCTATGTCGACGTTTTTGTTTTTCTTTTCAATTTCATGTTTTGAATTTGACTTTTCCTGTTGACTTTTTTTTTCCGACTATGTTTAAATCAAGGATTCTGGCCTTACCGTATGACAGATTTTTATAACTGTACCGTGGGAAAACACATCTCGCATTGGTTCGAACAATGACATGCAACCAACCTAACCAGCATCATTCACTCAGCATCATCCACTGTTCAACGGGCCCAAAACCATTTGGTGAACCTTGCTTCGTGGAAGCACCGAGGTGGCGGACCTATCTCGGTCCCTGGGGGCTCCCATGGTCAAAGGACGGGGATGGTGCGAAAGGAACTGGGTGGGGGGTGTAAAGGTTCTATGATCTATAGAAAAACCCAATGAGGAACACAAAACAATGGCCAGATGGCTGAAAACTCCACTTCTATACCACTTCTGTACCACTGAAGTCGCACAACGCAACCTGTTGAATGCCCATGGGACGAACACCCCTTCCAATTCCTCCTTTCTGGTCACTGCATTGGATGTTTGAGAACCTAAACCCACCCTAATCCCTAGACCCTAAACCCGAAACCTTAATAACGCTCAACCGATCCTCGGGATCCAACCGACCACCGGGACCCCGTGGCGGACCCGGGGATCGAGACTCGCCGGGGACCTGGTGGGACGGCTCGGCTGGTTCAAGTAAATCATGATCTTCTAGAGGTGGGGGAGTCGGTAAGGGTAATCAGATATGGTATCAAAACAGCTGTTTTGGGGATGATGATGATGATGATGATGATGATGATGATGATGATGATGATGA